TCTCCTCTCGGGATCTTGGGCATGCACATACACATGCCTGGCGTGAGCTTAAGCCACCGGATCCAGGACTAGAACCGCGGTCGGCTACGTGGGTGTTCAGTGTCATAGCCATTACGCTAACTGCTGGTCCCCCCAAATCTAGCTTTGAACTCACTTTACTTACACACAAATACTTAAATAGCATTCGGATGTGTCAGACTGTGTCCTAAGCACTTTATACTTTCTTTTTTCTTTTTTTTAGGTTTTTGCCGTAGAGTGAGTGTGAAGTGTGTTCAATAGAAACAACGAGAGGAAAAGTGAGAAATGATCCCCCAAGGGGGATGGCCATGCTGCAAGCCCTTCTCCTCTGTTCTCGTCTTGGGGTTTTGGGCACGCATACACAGACACCTGGTGTTGACTGCTTCAAGCTGCTGGGTCCAGGACCTGAACCGAAGTCTGCTATCTGGGACCCAGCATTTTACCCACCACGCCATCTGCTGGCCCAGCATTTTACAATTTAGGTCATTTAATCCTTATAACAAGCCAGTGGGGTTGGGACTGTTCTCCTCATTTTGCCAAATACCTTTGGTCATGGCATCCTACAGTAGGTGTGATCATAGTCCTGAAGAGTTACCATTTAGCGAGTTTGGGATTTATTAAATCCTGTATCCTATTCACACATATCGGAAGACAGACTACAGGAATCCTTTACTGAGGGAAGGCATTACCTCCAAATCAATTTGTGTTGTGTAAACTTGCTTGCTTAACTTGATCTTAATTTTTTTTTGTTTTATACACACACACACACACACACACACACATGCACACACTATACATATTTAGGTTTTTGCCACGGGATGCATGCAAAAAAAGAAAATAAGAAATCACTTCCCAGTGGAGATGGCCACGATGCAATCCCTTTCCTATTTCCTCCTGGGATTCTAGGCGTGCACTTACACATATGCAGCATGATTTTCCAGACACTGGATCTGGGACTTGAACCATGGTTTGTCCTGTGGAAGTCCAGGGCTTTAACCACCACACCATCTGCTGGTCTTTTTTTTTTTTTTTTTTTTTTTTTTTAAGAGGTAGGGTCTCCCTGTGTTGCCTGGTCTTACTTCCAACTGGCCATCCTCATATCTCAGCCTCCCAAGCAGCTGGAACTACAGGTGCTTGTCACTAACCCTAACCTTAACCCTAACCCAACTCTCACTGTTTTTTCTTTTTCTTTCGGGTTTTTGCCATAGGGTACTTGTGCTCTGGAGAGAAAGGAGAAATCATCCCCCCCGGTCGGGGGGGCGGAGATGGTCATGTTGCAATCCCTTCTCCTCCATTCTCCTTCTGAGATTTTGGGCATACATGCATAGTTGCCCAGTGTGCGTCTTGAACTGCCACGTCCTGGGACTTGAACCACAGTCAGTCATGTGGGAGTCCACCACCTTAACCACGGTGCCACCTGCAGGCCCCTGCTCTTCATTTTTGAAGGATCCTGATTTTCAGCGTCCAACACAACATCCTGGGCTAACTTTTTTTTTTTTTTTTTTGAGAGATTTTTCACTGTAGGGCATGTGCGCTTGCCAGACAGGACAGAGAGAGACAGAGAGACAGAAAGCGAGAAATCACCCCCCAGAGGGGATGGTCACGCCGCAATCCCTTCTCCTCCATTCTCCTCTCGGGATCTTGGGCACGCACGCACATGCACCCGGCGTGAGTTTTAAGCCACCGGGTCAGGGACACGAACCCCCAGGGGGGATGGTCACGCCGCAATCCCTTCTCCTCCATTCTCCTCTCGGGATCTTGGGCACGCACGCACATGCACCCGGCGTGAGTTTTAAGCCACCAGGTCAGGGACACGAACCGCGGTCGACTAAGTGGAAGTCCAGTGACATAGCCATTATGCTAACTGCTGGTTCCCCCCTGGGCTAACTTTTGAAGTAGGGATAGGATTACTAGGAGCATAGGGAAGCAGGAGCAGAAATTCAAGGCCTTCTCTTCCTTCTGAGGGTGTGAGGCAGGAGGGCTCTAAGATTTCTTGGCTGACTGCCTTAAGGTCAGAAGTTCTTAGGGTCCCTGCCTTGGCCTGCAGAGATCAGTTGGCCAGGATGGGCAATGCAACCTAGGGGTGAGGGATATCTGAACGCAAAAACCCTAAAAAACGGAACATAGGCTGCAGCAGGGGGCTGAGTTTTCCATGACATTTCCAAGCCTATTGTCTATAAAACGGTTTTATATGATACTTCCTTGAGGGAAAGTCGACCAGTAAGTTCCTCGTGACTTGACCAACTTTAATAATCAGGTGGAAAGCTCGCTTAAGCCATTTAAGTTAAGCCTGAGCTCAAACTGGCAGGACGCCGAGTGCTCCGAGAGAGCCTTGAACACGTGCGCTGTAGTCTCTGGGGAGAGGGTACTGAGCTGGCAGCCGTTTAAATTTCAGGGCCCGTAAAAGGTGCAGAAGCCTTGTCTTACACCCGTCGGTTAGGGACCCTGGACAAGAAGGGCCAGAGAAGGCCTGCAGTTTGACATAACCTCTGGCTTTAGAGGGCGTGGGAAAGGCTTAGCTCTAGGAGTTGCCACTTAACCCACGCCGGATCGCTGGGGTCTACACTGTCCACGCGATACCCAGGTCCCGCCGGCAGCTGGAGCTTTAACCATTCCAGCTTCTCCGAAGCCCGCCTCCCAGCGGACTCGGGCCCGGGGCGTGGCCGGCTGGAATCTGCTCCCGGGCCCGGGGCCGAGGTCGTGGCGGGTAACAAGCTGCGGCTCGCACCCTCCACCCCT